CAGTGGAAGTAGGTCCTACCCAAAGAGATGGGCTAGTTGTCGGTATTGTATACCATTCTTGTACAACCACGTTGTTTTCTGAACTGGATGAAAAGTTAGATTTTGTTGGGTAGTGTAATGAGTCGGGTGTTTGTACTGGTTGAGAGACCTGTCCTGCAGGGAGTGAACGCAAATCTATGCCTTAAATTGTGCTTACGAGTGAGCGGGGAGTTATTCTTTTTCTTTTTTTTTTTTACTATGGGGGGGGGGAAATACAGGTAGTAGATTACTTGCAGATCCTTATTGACGCTCTCTGATGAGAACTATCTGCTGTCTAGATTAACAACTATCGTGTATTATCTAGGTATACGAGTCAAGTATAGAAAAGCAAAAGAACGTAAAAGAGAAGAAGCACTGCAGCAGGCCAACTGGCCCGTGTTAGGCAGGTCAAAATCACATCCACTCAAGAAGGAAGGAACACTGCAGCAGATTTACTGGCCCATGCTAGGTAGGCCCAACTCACAGCTTACAGTGCGAATTACAACCCACTGAAAATCAGGGCCGTGCAGTACATGCTCTGAGAGACAACTCGATAAGTGTAAAGGGCCCAAGACTTTTCACCACTCCATGTGTGAGGGTAATTGCCATGAGATACCTAGCTATCTTCAAGAGGGGAAGAACCTGGTAACTTCCTTCATGCTGTGCCCGGTCATCAGGCTTGCATGCACTAACAGCCTGGTTGACCAGACCATCAAACACAAGGCCTAGTCCCAGACCAGTGCCTCAGGGCACCATAGTCCCAGACCAGGCGCCTCAGAAGACCATGGACCCAAACCAGTGCCTCAGAGGACCATTGTCCCAGACCAGTGCCTCAGAGGACCATGGTCCCAGACCAGCGCCTCAGAGGACCATGGTACCAGACCAGCGCCTCAGAGGACCATGGTCCTAGATCAGTGCCTAAGGACCATGGTCTCAGGAAGCATCAACAGATAAACAACAACGTTTGTTTCACAGAAAACATCAACAGCTGTGGCCGCTCTTGTTGACACAAGGTCAACGTCAACAATATAAGATGATACAGTGTTACAGAGGTACAGTGATACAGAGGTACAGTGATATATACAGAGGTGCAGTGATACATACAGTGGTACAGGGATACAGAGGTACAAGGATACAGAGGTACAGTGATATACAGAGGTACAGGGAAACAGAGGTACAGTGATATTTACAGAGGTGCAGTGATAATACCGTGGTACAGGGAGACAGAGGTACAAGGATCCAGACAGAGTAATTGATATAACAGCAGGTCAGGATTCAGAGGTCAGTGATATTACAGAGGTGCAGTGATACATACAGTGGTACAGGGATACAGAGGTACAAGGATACAGAGGTACAGTGATATACAGAGGTACAGGGATACAGAGGTACAGTGATATATACAGAGGTGCAGTGATACATACAGTGGTACAGGGATACAGAGGTACAAGGATACAGAGGTACAGTGATATACAGAGGTACAGGGATACAGAGGTACAGTGATATATACAGAAGTGCAGTGATACATACAGTGGTACAGGGATACAGAGGTACAAGGATATAGATGTACAGTGATATACAGAGGTACAGGGATACAGAGTTAAAGTGATACAGAGGTACAGTGATACAGAGGTACAGTGATATATACAGAGGTGCAGTGATACACACAGTGGTACAGGGATACAGAGGTACAAGGATACAGAGGTACAGTGATATACAGAGGTACAAGGATACAGAGGTACAGTGATATACAGAGGTACAGGGATACAGAGTTAAAGTGATACAGAGGTACAGTGATATATACGGAGGTACAGTGGTACAGGGATACGGAGGTACAGTGATATATACAGAGGTACAATGATACATACAGTGGTACAGGGATACAGAGGTACAACGATACAGGTACAGTGATACATAAAGATACATAGTATTTTTAGCTCCATTCTGTTCTCTTTTTCTCCCTCTTCCTCTCCTCTTCCTCCGCCTTTTCCTCATCTTTTCTTCATCTTTTCTTCTCTCCCTCTTCCTCTCCCTCCTCCACTCTCTCCTCCTCTCCCTCTCCCCCCCATCCTCCCCCCCCCCCCCCCCCCCCTCCCCCCCCCCCCTCTTCTTCCCTCTCCCTCCTTAACCTCCTCTACTCTTACGTTCCCTCTCAGTCCCCCACATTTTCCCTTCTCACTTCCATACTCTAGAGTTACTCCTTCCTCCCTCCCTCCCTATCTTTTCCCTTCCTCCTCCCCCTCCCTCCCTCTTCCTCCCTCCCTTCCTCCATCCCTGCTCCATCCCTCTCCTTCCTCCCTCCCTCCTCCTCTTCCTCCTCCCTTCCTCCCTCCCTTCCTCCCTCCTCCCTATCTTCTTCCCTTCCTCCCTCCCTCCCTACCCTCTTCCTCCCTCCTTCCTCCCTTCCCTTTCCCCCCCCCCCCTTTTTTTTTTTTTCCATCCCTTTTCCCTTCCTCCCTCCTCCTCCCTCCCTCTACCTCCCTCC